CAATTTTTGTGTCATCCTCAAACTTGCCAAATGCTCATCCAAATCCTTTATATCAATGACAAAAAAATTAGACCCAGCACCAATCCCTGTGAGGAACACCGCTGGTCAGAGGCCTCCAGTCTGAAAAACAACCCTCCACCACCACCCTCTGTCTCCTACCGTCAAGACAATTTTGTATCCAAATGGCAGGCTCTCCCTGAATCTAACTTTGCTAATTAGTGTACCAAGCAGAAGTTAGTCAAACGTTTTACTAACATTCATGTAGATAATGTCTACCATTCTGCCCTCATCAATCTTTTTGATTACATCCTCAAAAAACTCAATCAAGCCTGTGAGACATGAATTTCCTTGCACAAAGTCATGCTGACTATCCCTAATCATTCCTCGCCTCTCCAAATGCACGTAAATTCTATCTATTAGAATCCCCTCTAAACAACTTAACCAGCACTAACATCAGACTCACAGGATTATAGTTCCCAGCTTCTCCTTACAGCCTTTCTTAAATAAAAGTACAACACTAGCCACCCTCCAGTCCTCCAACAAGTAAGACTGTCCAACCTTTTGCTGTAGATGATACAAATATTCTTCTAGGGACCCCGCAATTTCTTCCCTGGGATGTGTTTGATCAGGTCCTGGAGATTTATCCACCTTTATGACCTCCAGCACTCCCTTTTCTGTAATTTGGACTGTTTTCCAGACATCAACATTTAATTTCCCGAGTTCCCTACCCTCTATTTCTTTCTTCACATAAAAACTGATGTGAAATATTAATTTAGTATCACTCCCATCTCCTGTAGCTCTATACATGGACGACCTCGTTGATCTTTAAAGGGCCTGATTCTCTCCCTACTTGCTCTTTTATTTTTAATGTACTTGTAGACTCTCTATGAATTCTCTTTAAGCTTATCTGCTGAGTCTATCTCATATTCCTTTTTTGCCTTCCTGATTTCCCTCTTAGGAAAGCCCCTACACCCCTTATACTTTTCAAGGGATTCACTTGATTCCAGTTGTCTAAACCTAATATATGACTCCTCCTTATTCTTGACCAAAACCTCAATATCTTTATTCGTCCATTGTTCCCAACTCTGACTGAAATAACTCTATAGAGGCTGGTTTCCCATCACCAAATCATCCTTTATTTTCATGTTGAGAGTCCTTAACACTGATCCTCAGAGCCAGCTGTCAGAGTGAATAGGATGTCTGACGGTCCTGTTAATACCTTATTCTGTGAGGTTCACTTCGTTGACCTTGTTACAATCACTGCACTTACTAGCCTTACCCCTTACACTAACAGGAATATAATATCTCTAAACTCTTGTTATCTTTTGAAAGCCTTCTACTTGCACGTCGTCCTTTTACGTACGGTCTACTTCAATCAACTCTTGAAAGATCCTGTCTCATACCATCAAAATTTGCCTTACTCCAATTAAGAACTTTAACATTTATACAAGGCCTACCCTTTTCCATAACAATTTTAAAACTAATAGAATTATGATCACTGGTCCCAAAGCATTCCCCCACTAACACTTCAGTCACTTGCCCTACTTTATTTCCCAAGAAAAGGTCAAGTTTTGCTCCATCTCTAGCAGGTACATCTACATGTTGATAACAAAAATGTTCTTGAACTCATAAAACAAATCCCTTACCATCCAACCCCTTAACACTATGGCAATCCCAGTCTATGTTTTGAAAGTTAAAATCCCCTGCTATTAAATTGCTGTTATTCTTATATGTATCTGTGATCTCTCTACATATTTGCTCCTCAATTTCCCTCTGACTATTGGTGGGCTTATAGCACAATCCCATCAAGGTGATCAACCCCTTCTGATTTCTGAGTTCCACCGATATAGCTTCACTTGATGATCCCTCAGAAATATCCACTCTAAGTAGAGTAGTAATCAAGAATGTCACTTCCCCTCTTTTCTTGCCTCCCTTTCTATCCCTCCTATAGCATCTAAGCCCCAGACCATTAAGCTGCCATTCCTGCCCCTCCCTCAGCCATGTGTCTGTAAAAGCTATGATGTCTCAGAACTATGTTCCCATATAAGCCTTGAGTTCATATGCCAAAGAAAGATCCTCTGTGATAAAGAATTCTGAACAGGATTCCCAGAATATGTTTCACCACAGGCATTTTTGAATTTGTGCAGTATATACATTGTCCACACACTTAGTTCTATGCACAGCTTTAAACAACAAGATGCATAAATATTGAAAAGAACTGTACAACTGACAGCCAGAATGAGAGATTGAACAGCGAGAAGAAAACTGGGCTCTATCTCCTTGAATGAAACAGACTGAGAATGTGGAACCTTTATGACATAGAAAAATAAACGTAAACCATGACAGTGCAAATAAATAGGCTCGATTATTTATTGCGATGAGTCTAAAGCGAGTCTTTCTGTGTGCAGGAAATTATTTCCAACATATTTTTCACCAGAGACATTGATTTCCAATAATAGATTTTTTTCTCTTTGAAGTCAGTGTATTTCTTATAAGCTACAATATCTAACAGTCAATGCTACGCTCTACAGTAAGTGGAATAACAGATCCCTACCAACAATGTAAAATTCTGAATATGATTCCTCTCAATGCCAAATGTGACATTGGTTTATTCAACACAAAAGTGCTAATTTTGGGATAAAGTAAGCTTCCATTAAGATACATTAGCACCAATTCCTTCAGGCCCTGCAAATTGCCAGAGGAACCAGAAGAGATATCAGGCTGAGTACTTTTCTTGTTGAGGCATTTTTACAATTGCAGCAATATTGTGTCGACAAACATTTGTTGCTCCTGACTGGTGTCCAAGAGCTCTGTAGAAATCTGTTGCTTTCCTGTCATTCCCCCATTTCTAAGTTTTTGAATTATGACAAAAATCTGGTATTTTACAATTGGGGTCAAACTTAATAAGCACCCCAAGTCTTGCAGAAGTAAATATTATATCACCATCCAACTTTAAATACATTTACAATAGACTGATTTAATCAGTATTTGATGTTGTCATAGTTGGCCATGAGGAAAGAAAACGGTAAAGAGATTTCTAATTAAATCATGCTGTTAATTAACATGGCTGAAGTTTCAAATAACAGTATTTCTGTTGCCTGGTATGATAGTGAGCATTGTAACATTCAATAATAGTAAGTATAATTATTTATTCATGGGATGTGAGTGTCACTGGCCAGGCCAGCATTTACTGTCTATCCCTAATTGCCCCAGAGGGCAGTAAAGTGTCAATGATATTGCTGTGGGTCTTGAGTCACATGTAGGCCAGACCAGGCATAGATGGCAACTTCCTTGCCAAAAGGACATTAATTTGTTTTCCAAACAATCAACAACAAATTCCATGGCAGAACCTATGTCCCCAGAACATTACCAGGGTCTCTGGATTAATGTTCTCGTGATAATGCCAATAGACCTTCACATACATGTATTTTAATGGAGGTGAACAATCTCAAAACTACAAGGAAATGTATTGACTTTGGATCACTTTGGTTTACTGCATTGTTAATTTCAGAGTTGCTGGGGTTCTACAGTCTTAATTATTGTTAATGCATCCTGCATCCTGTTGCATTTGTTTTCTCTCTGAAGCATGAGAAACAATCTACTCCATGCTTCCCAGTGCAAAGATGGGTTATCAATTCCTGGAGTTACATCTGTTAATTTCATTGTAATATCTAACAGTGGTGTTTTTTTGACTTTACTTGTGTATTACTTTTTCAAATAGCAACAACTTTCTTTGACTCTAGAATGATGAGCTTGCAGTATTGCAATTCTCCTTTTCTTTCTGGATTGCTTTAAGAACCCTGTCATTATTCTTTTCAATCTGTTTCAATTGCAATGTAACTCAATTGCCTCTAGTCATTTGCTTCCTTCACTGCTCAGAACAGCCTGTTTCTGCATCTATTCGATGCTTAACCCTAAATAACAGACATTCTGGGGTAGATTTTCTGCCTGTTGACTATGAATGAGCTGGTGATTTAAAATGACGTCTTAACACCAGCTCAATTTTACAGTCACATAAAAACTTTTCCACCTGGTTAGCTGTCATTTTTGTAATTCCTATCCTGTGTTTAACATCTTTCGTATTTCAATCATTATTGTGAACATTAACTTGACTTATTTCCATGTTTCGTTTATAGCTAAATTTAAGAAGTGGGAATATATTTGTTGCTGTACATGCATAATAAAATAAAAACCTTATAATTTTGGGTGGATTCGCATCAAATTCATAACGGACTCCCTTTTCAATACGTCAGCAAGATTAAAAGGAGTAAAACAGATGAATAAATCTTAGAACTCATAATTAGTTGACAGTCGAGACCAGGTTTTAAACAATGGATGAGCTGAATAAATGAAGTAATGAAATAAAAATAATTATGCTTTTTTTCCGTGTTGAAAAGATATTGACATTAAACACTAATTCAAAAAACTTAAGAGCATGAACTATCATTTGGTAATGGTGCACCCCCAGATGTACCAGAGGCACATGAAGAGAATCAGATTTGGGTAAACAATCATTTTGTTCCCTAAAGAAGCTCACACATATAATCTGATTAACTTGATCTGAACTACTTACAATCTCTCACTTTGCTTTAAAATGCATTTTTTTCAGATTCTGTTACTTAAGTCACTTTTCTAAATTGAATGCTTACATATCAATTTTTTTTATTTCAAAATGAAGTTCCTCCTCCTTCTCAAAATGTATTTAGTGCTAAGAGTATTAGAGTTAGTTATATGAACTAAAATAGGTTTGGATCCATATAATACTGGCATTTCTAAAACTTTTGGAGCTGATGCACAAGTGGCAGGTTATTGTAAAAATCAGAATTTGTCGAGAGTAAAAAAAAACTGTTTGAAGATAATTGAAAGATTTGTGAACAAATATTGAAAGAAAATCCACAGTTGTTCTTTGCTCAAATACCTATTCAGAAAATGGACAGTGAAATTTGTTGTTCTGAAACAGTTCACTGATCATTTCAAATCCGAATCATTTCTCTTCTCAGGTGCGTCTTGAATGGCCGACTGACCTTGCCGTTAACCCCATTGATAATTCCCTGTACGTGCTCGACAACAACATTGTACTGCAGGTCTCAGAAACTAGTCGTGTGCGGATTGTTGCAGGCCGGCCTATCCACTGCCAGGTACCAGGCATCAACCATTTTCCAATGAGCAAGGTGGCTATTCACTCTACTCTGGAGTCAGCCAGAGCTATTGCTGTTTCTCACAGTGGAGTACTGTACATAGCAGAGACAGATGAGAGAAAGATCAACCGCATACAACAGGTCACTACCAATGGTGAGATCTTCATATTTGCTGGCACATCAACAGAATGTGATTGCAAGATTGATCCCAACTGCAACTGTTTCTCAGGTAATGTTGTAATCAGTCAAGATATATTCAGAAACCATTTAGTAATCCAGTGATTTGTGGTTACATTTTACTTACAGCACAGAAACAAGCCATCCTTCTCAACTTGTCTTTTCTGGTTTTTATGCTTTAACTGCATTTCTATGAAATGAGTTGAATGGCTGAAAAGTAATTGTTAGTCAAGTAAAGTCCACTCCCAACAATGGAAATTCCCGTTATAAATGATCTAATAATTTGGGAAATTGAAAACCAAACAGCAAATGTTTATTATCCAAACATGTCCACAACAAGATATGCCTTGTTTTTTTTCATCAACTCATATAGGGATTGGAAATATTCTTTCAGTCTCGTTGCAAAATTCTCACTTTTCTTCTATGGAATCGATTCCCATCGGATCTCCTGTGCTCTCATTGTTCTCACATACCTAAACTGCAGTCTCTTCCCCATTTTCCTTTCCTCCCATTTTGAACTTCAAAAATGGATGCAATTTGGATAACGTGAACTTTCTGCTGTACAGGTAGAGTGATTTTCTATAGCGATTTCCCTATAAAGCGATTTTCTCTGGCAATTTTCTATAGCGCGAGGTCTCACAAGAACGCAACTATCACCTAATTAGAGAAATACCTGTATTTTACTGCTTTACTATATCCAGCAGTGTAACATATTATTGTATTTTTTTGTAGAGATGGATTTATAATTAAATTGCCCAACATTAAAAAATGTTGTGTAGTTCGGATCTTTTTCATTCATAATGTTCATTCTCTGTCTCCATTTGCTTTGACCTTTTTTTTCTGGTTACTTGGAAAAATGACATAGGTTACAGTACAGAATTATCCCACTATATATTCTTAAAGCTAGATCTATTGAACATTCTGGTGGAGAGGAATTAATAGTGATTGTTGTCAATTTTTGGGAACACCAAAACTGCTGGGGACAAAAATCATCTTAGTTGTGAGATTTGCTTTTTGTTTTCCTTTATTCATTTACGGGATGAGGGTATCACTGGCCAGGCAGCATTTATTGCCCAGAAGGCAGTTCAGAGTCAATGACATTGCTATTGATCTGGGGTCACATGTAGGCCAGGTAAGGATGGCAGTTTCCTTCCCTAAAGGACATTAGTGAACCACATGGGTTTTTCCTGACAATCAAAAATGGTTTCATGGTCATCATTAGATTCTTAATTTCAGATATTTTTATTGAATTCAAAGTCCACCATCTGCCATGGTGGGATTTGAACCCAGGTCTCCAGAATGTTATCTGAGTCAACATCCAGCGATAATATCACGAGGCCATCGCCTCCCCACTTTTCCAATAATAAGTATTTATATGCAAGTGTAATAATAAATATTTCTGCATCATAAGAATCAAAATTAAGAATAAAAATAATTCCTATTGGAGTTAAGCTTACAATATATAAGGTTGCATGCAAACATTGAATCGCACTCATTGCTTATGTTTTCATGATGTCACCACAAAAGTTTATTTTACCTGAATCTATCTTACAGGTCCTTTCATTTTATGTGTTTCACAGGGATAAGAATATATTTCCCTCTAATATGTTAAAAGTATGCAACTGACACAGCCCATTATTTTCAATGATTCAACTGTTGCTAATCCTGAGAACCTAGGTGGAATTGATATGGTCAAGGATTGTTTTATATAGTTGTGTTTAATGTGGCACAGATTAAGAGTGGAACTGAGGCCAATGACCTGTGGGCAACGCTATCATCATACCTACTTCTACTACCCTCCAATCCCAGTTAGGTTCATTGGAAAAGTTAATATTAACTAGAACCTCTGTTAGTAACTTGGAGTCCAAAGAAAATTCAGCTCGAGGGTAATGTCAGAATTGTAGAACTTTATGTTGCACATATCAAAATGTGCAAGCTATAGCAAATATTTTGCCATATTTGAATGTCTAGTACACAGCTATGGAATGTGACTGTATGATAGACAACTGTTTCTTGGAAGTGTTCCACAATCAGTGGACACTAAGATGTTTCATTGGCACAGATTTAAAAACTGTCATTGAAAAATGTTCCCATTTCTTGAACTTTAATTTAGACAATGTCTATATAATATATTTGTCGTGTCCTCTTTATTTTCGGAAAGTGGAGCTTGAAATTCATCCAAATACCCCAAAGCCTTTGCATTCGGCTTATGCAAGTTGGGAGGCCGACTTGAAGTAAAGGAGATGGTGCACAGTAGATCATTACCACTCCCCACAGCAATGTGCATCATGGTTTAAGAACTTACAGATGAGATTCAGGGAAATCAGTTATAATATTTTATAGAAGTAATGACTTTGCACATAATCAGGTTATAAGAGAGTATTGGAATGAAGCAGATGTTACATTGCAATCCATTTGCCAAACTATTTAGATTTTTGTTACATATTAAAAGAAAAAGGCATGGTGGCTTTGCAGCAGCATGGTATCTCAGTGGTTAGCACTGCTGCCTCACAGTGCCAGGGACCCAGGTTCAATTCCAGTGTGTGTGGAGTTTGCATATTTTCCCTGTGTCTGCGTGTGTTCCTCCCACAATCCAAAGATGTGCAAGTTAGGTGGATTGGCCATGCTACAGTGTCCAGGGATGTGTAGGCTAGGTGGATTAGCAATGGGAAATGTAGGGTTACAGGAATAGAGTAGAAGGGGGAGTAGGGTTTGGTGTGATGCTCTTCAGAGGGTTGCTGTGGACACAATGGGCTGAATGGCCTGCTTCCGCACTGTAGGGATTCTATTCTATGATTATGACTTCTTGTTCTCATCACCTTTTGAATGGATCTTTTGTATTACACTATTCTGTCTCTTCCTTATCATAAGGTTTAGCTCCTGACCACATGGGTCTCTGACCCCAGTGACCATTCTTCATGCATGATTTTAGAGAGTGAGAATTAATCAATGCATCCCATAATTTTGATCCTTATGGGAATCGACCCCACCTTATTCCCAAGCTTGCATATATGACTAGAAGACTCCAGATTCAATATGTGGCATGTGCTGAGTAAGCTGTTGTCAACTGGCATGACAGTAGAGGGTGATGCATAGATAGGTTTGCTGCTCCTGATTTCTGTTCAGTGATCCGTACAGTCTAATGTTTGTGTGTGAACAACAGGTAAGAACAGGATCAGGTTCATCTATCATGCCATTCTCATTTAAGCAGCTGTCAGCATGTACCTTTGGGGTTGACGTACAAAGAATGGCTAGTTAGGCAGAAGTGCTGGAGGACTGGTTGTGTATACAGAATGAAACGCATGCAAGAATCAGGAGAGGAGGGAATAAAATTGAAACAGAATTCTTTTCAATATAAGAAAAGTGATTGTATTTCCATGATGCAGAGCTGTGGTCTATTTTAAATGACTGGCATGAAACTGTCATGGAATGAAACAGATTTCTTTGTATTGTGGACGATATAATGCAGTAAGTTTGATAAAATATTGCCTGTGGATTTGAGCTATTTATAGGTACTGCTGAGTTGTATCTCCTCCTAACCCTAGAAAAATAATTACGTCTTGAATTTCAAACTAAAGCTATAATACTTTTTACAGCAGATCTGTTAGTGTAGTCATGTATCATTCATGAGCAAAGAGATTAATTTTTCCATTGGCTGTAGCCTATGTTGCTGTTGTTGCCAAATATAAGTGGTGGTTCGTTCACCATATTTCACTATACTGTACATAATCTCTCCTCTATCCCTCCTGAAGGTTGTCACTTGCATGCAAGTCTTCGCTCCAGACACACTCTGATAGCTTACTCAAATAGTTATTCTTTACCTCTAGGCACAGCGTTAATGACAGTGGGCTCTGTGACTATGATGGTGAGGATTATCAAAACAAAACAATTTCTGACCATCATCCTCACTCCAAAGAAAGCTATAATAAATATATTTCTCAGTGAAATGTTTCCGTATCACAAGGTATAATCCCATAATTTTTCACATTTTGTCCAATATTGTGTTCGGTAAATTGCTGCAGACCGAGTTGAAGCAATGACAAAGCACTTGAGCCAACACTATTGGCTTCAGGCCCTCTGCGAAATGAAGTGAAATGGCAGCCCAGGATTCTGATACCTACTTGTCAGCCAAGTTTATTGTCTAGTCTGATTGTGATTCCCATTAAAATGTCAAATAGCCAGCTGATGTTTGCTGTTTAGATTCTCACCAAAAGAATGGACACTTCAGGAAGGGATCAATGCTCTGCTGCCATTTGCCATTCTGTCCCCCAGCAAGTGTCCACACTTTCAAAGGGCCGGAAGGGCCAGGTTCAAGTCTTGCTCTGGAATTTGATGGTCAAATTCTTAACACATTCCAAACACAGCCAAACAGCTTGAGTATCAACCTGTAAATACTTCAGTCAGATGCCAATGGTAGGTAGCGGGAGTAAGAGAGATTCCTGGTTAGCCATGTTATGGCAAAAAGAGCCTCGACTACCACTATTCATTGCTGTGGACTGCAACATGCATGTACATGTTCTCACAGCAACACAGGCTCAAGTTGACAGGATGGGTGCCTAGATGAGATCGGTGCCAACAGCATGGAGTTTGATCCCTCTTTCAGTTGTTGCAGATATAGGACCTGCTCTCCCTCCCTACCTTGAGTGGAAGTCATGGAACTGAGGATCAACTGCCTTCCTGAGAAGAAGAATAGAACAGCTGATTATTTATTAAGCACAGTCTCATCAGATTCTCAAAATAATAGCTACAGAATAAACTGCTCTTCTAAGCTAATGTAAAGCACTGAGTGTTTGGCAGGGATGGGGAAAGAAGAGAGAGGGCTGTAGCTTTGAGTGAGTCAAAGGCCTCCTGTGAGCTGTACTTTTCCCCAAATTATATCATCAGGTTTGTATGGATGCTAAGATTTATTCTAATTGTTTCTAGTTGATGATTTTGATCATTAATATCAACACATTTTCTTTATTCTCTAGGTGATGGTAGCTATGCCAAGGATGCAAAGTTGAAAACACCAACCTCCTTGGCTGTTTCTCCAGATGGCACATTATATATAGCGGACCTTGCTAATATCCGTATCCGAGCAGTGAGCAGGAATAAACCCCGCTACAATCACTTGAATGTATACGAAGTGGCTTCACCAGCAGATCAAGAGCTGTACCTCTTTAACATTAATGGGACCCATTTGAATACCTTAAATCTAATAACAGGAGACTATGTTTACAACTTCAGCTATACCAATGAGGGTGATCTTAGCTCCATCACTGGCAACAATGGCGATTCGCTACATATTCGGAGAGATGCTAATGGCACACCTCTCTGGCTTGTGGTGCCTGGTGGCCAGGTATATTGGCTAACTATCAGCAACAACGGGGCCTTGAAAAGAGTATCTGCCAAGGGCCTTGACCTAGCAATGATGACATACCATGGTAACACCGGTCTGCTAGCAACGAAGAACAATGAAAATGGCTGGACAACAGTTTACGAGTAAGATATTGTCAGTGTTGCTAATATTTTCGATTTCTGTTTATAAAGTTTACTTGCTACAATAAGTAGAGTCACATAGTGCAAATATTGCAATATAAAATTTCTCTGTTAACATTTAGGAATTAATTTTAATCCACAATACCTGTGTATCACAGGACGAGTGAAGGTTTAGGAAGGCATGTAAATTGAAGCATATTGCCTTTTGATTCCATTTTCACTGAGGTCTATTTGGCCATCATTTTAACTGCTAACTGCAGTTTGGTGGCTTGGTGCCTGTCAGGAACCACATGAAAAAAGGCACAAAGTAAGTCAATGGGACCTCAATTACACTTGAACCCACTCCCAGGTGAACACAAATTGGAAGCAGTACCTGTGAATGCTGGGAATCTAAAATAAAAACAGAAAATGCTGAAAAACACAGCGAGTCTGGTAACATTTGTGGAGAGAGAAAAACACAGTTAACAAATCAGGTTGATGACTTTTTGTCAAACTTGAAAGGTAATTCTTATCTTCCAAAGATGCTGCCTAACCTGCTGAGTATTGCCAGCATTTTCTGTATCTATACCCAGGTCAGTGAATGAAAATTTAAGTGAAAAGCATTCCTTTTCTGGACCTCCCTTCATGCCACACAAATGTAGTTCTGCATTTTCCCCGTGCTCCTGCTTGTCTTTCATGTCTTTATATGAACTCCTCTGTTTCTGTTCACCTAAATTAGTCAGTATCACTTTTCTTTTCCCCAATAATGTTTTGGGCCATAATTAAGAGTTGAAAGACATCCAACAACAACTGGCATAAGTCAGACTTGTATCTACATATTTAAGTATTTTAATTTTTTGCATGAAAAGTTGCTGGTCATGTAAGTGGATAATATCAAAGCAGAGGAAACTGGGTGTCTGGACTGGAACAGAATAGAGCAAGTGCCTAAATTACTCCTTAACCAATCTCATAGAAGGACTAGGAAATTACAGCGCCAAAGATTGAATTGAAAGTTTAAATTAGGAGCATAAAATCAATGTTAAATCAGGTAGAGAAAGAGAAATACAGAGAGTGAGAGGAAGATCGGATGAAGAGAGAAAAGAAATAGGAATGAAAATAAAACCAAAGAACTGTGTTGCTGGAAATCAGAAACAAAAACTGAATTGATAGGGTGAATAATCAAGGTCTTTTTCCCCAGGTAGGGGAGTACGAAACTAGAGGGCGTAGGTTTAAGATAATGTTGGCAAATGGGACTAGACGAATTTAGGATATCTGGTCGGCATGGACAAGTTGGACCGAGGGGTCTGTTTCCGTGCTATATGACTCTATGAATAAAAAAAAAATTGCTGGATAAAGTCAGTAAGTATGGCAGCATCTGTGGAGAGTAAGCAGAGTTAACATTTTGGGACCAGTGACCCTTTTTTAGAAGAGGATAGAAATAGGAAGCGATAGTAACAGAATAGAAAGAGGAAAGGACAGCTAAATTTAAAGAAATAAACATGAATAAGTGTGAATTGCTGTGAATCTGAGCCTTGCCCTTTGCAATTTCAAAATCCCCAACAATATTTATAACATTAAGGAATGAAATTCCACACTTGTAATAGTTAATATTCAGTGCCAGAGAGGTTAATTACTTAGCAATAATTAAGAGTTATAACACTGTTAGAAAGAATACTTCAACAAGACTTGACAAAGCTAAAATTCCTGAAGTGGTTTTAATTCCAGTAACTCATGCCATTCAACACATTGTGGTTGTGAGGCTCACAGCAAGGTGATGTTTTTGAAAACTTGACTTGGAGCAGCAACTTTTAGATTTCTACATTTCACTATCTATGGAGTTTCTGAATCATTTGTGAATAACTAAAAGTGAACACCATTAAACTCATCATTACTGTGACAGCACATTCTGGTTCATTACCTCGAATATATCTTATCAAAACTCTATCTTCCGCCTACGTATCATTCAAAACACCAATACGTTTCTTCATTGTTTTACTTGAAGACATCCTCACTTATAAGGAGGCCCTCTAGTCTTAAACTTATTTTGAGAGATTATTCCTGATGCCCAAATCCACATCCTCTGTACTTGCAGAGAGTGAAAATGGACGAAGCACTGAATCCTGCTTCTTTAGTCAGAGCAAAACTTTTACATTTATGCATAATTTCAGCATCAAAATGCAACGCCATTACATTTTAGGTGCTTGTATTTGACCACAACAGGCTCAATGGAGGGAAGGTCCTTTTTCTATGTTGTAGGCCTTTATGTCTCTTTGACTCTAATGCTTTATTTCCTGTTTTCCATCTTACTTTTTATCCCTGCTGCTACTTTCACTCCAAGATCATGACTTTTTTTGAGACATCTTAATAAATACTTATTGAAATCCATATCCATTTCTACTTCACTCTCTTTTATCTAGTTTTGTCAAAAAGATCTCTATTTACATCACAAAACTTGCCTCAACAAGTCAGTACCAATTATACTTGATATTTTTCAAGTTTTTATTTCAATACAAGATTCACTATCTAGTATACACTCAATAATTCAGTTGTGTTGGTGCTGATATCAGTGGTATTCTTGAACTTGAAGTAAGCAAAGAGCAAATTTAGTTCAAGTCATGAAGATAACTTGAACTGAGAAAAGCTTTATTTCTTTGCAAATTGACTTACTGTTTGGTAACTAAGTACTTTTTCTTTCCTGTTAGGAAAATATTCCATCCACCTTTTCATTTCCTTTCAAAATCACTCTATTCACAATTTGTTAAAGCTGCTGTATCTGTGCTTGTGCTCGGCATTCCTAATCATTTGATACATGGGCATTCAAGCATGAGGCTGTTGATTTTCAGCATCGCTGTCATTCGTACTCAAGGTCTGTCAATCATCTGTTAATACTTAACGTTATCAGTCTCCCAGTGCTTAGCATTTGCTCCTTTCCAGTCTCTATAAGTAAAATGCAGCCTTATCCTTCTAAGCAATTCAGATTTTCTCCTTTCACTAGTTTCCTTGACCAGAAATGCAACATAAGTGTCCAAAGTGGTACACAAATACTACTCAAGTCTAATACTATGAACAGGTAATCTGCTTGTTGTATACAAACAGATGATTCAATTCATGAAAGTCAAAACTACACATTAAGTGGAAGGACTTTGATACGGATAGATACATTATGAACACAGTGCACTGTAGTGTTTTGAGGTAATTCTAGGTCCATTTCAAAGGGGTGACTGAGGAGCAAAGGTCCTTAGTAAACAAATTAATGTAAACTAAAAATAACTTTCAGAAAGAAACAATGAAGCTAATCTAATGGCAGAGATTCAAAAGGACCTGTATGTTTTTAAACAGTAGTCATCGAAACAAACATATTCTTGTATTTGTTTCACAGCTCCTGATATACAGTTGCGGAACAATCTCCTGTGAAAATTATCAGAAAATGAGAATACAAAAGACAATAAAAAGAAGTCTCACTGGCGGGTTGTGTCAATGAGAATTTTTTTTTTCCTTCTGAATGCATGATATAAAACATATAATATGGATACCCCTAAACTTCCAGCGCAATGGTTTAAAAAAACAATGCAGTTTATTTTCAGAGATCTAACATGCTGCTATATTTCTCATGAACTGATTATCAATTAACAGAAACAGAACAATGTTAGGACAAGCAGAATAATGCGTCACACAGAGAACATCTGAAATATGACAATTGGCTTGTGAGGGAGTTAATACTCAACACAGAAGATTCAGGACAAGATGTGGGGCTGAATATTCCCATTTTCAGTAAGACTGTATTTTAGAATGCGACTCATGGTGTCCAGGCTGCCATGTCGCAGAGTGACTTTTCTCATGCAATCATCTGTTCTTTGACTTATTACTTATGCAGCCTCAGGCTCTTGGGCATCTTCCTTGGGGAATTATGTAGCAGGAGAGGTGGAGATATTCACCACTACTATGTGACGTTCACACCACTGGCACCATCATTAAATCCCAGGTCCATAGCCAGTGACACCCACATCCCAGGAATGAAATGAAAAAAGACTAAAACTGCACACAGTATTTGTGCTGTGGTCTCAGCAATACCCTGTTTAACTCAAGCACAACACCCTTACTATTATTTTCAATTTCTCTTGCAATAAAGGATAGCATTCCATTAGCCATCTTGATGACATGTGCCTACATAACAACCTGTTGTGACTCGTGCTAACATATCTAAATCACTCTGCACTTCAGACTTCCTCATTCTTTCTGAATTTAAATGTTACCCTGCTTTTGCATTCTTTCTGCTAAAGTGAAAAACTCCACATTTTCCCATATTATATTCCATCTGGAAAATTTCAGCTCATCAACTTAACTACATCCATCAGCAGCTACCAGATGTTGCCTTCGCAATGTACTTTTTCACCCATCTTGGTGTTGTCGATGAATTTAATGACACTGCCTTCACTTACCTCATCTATTCATTGATATATGTTGTAAAAGGTTGAGGATCTGGGCATAGATCCCTGTCAAACAGCTTGCTCAATTCCTACCCAGGGGTTTAGCCATGGTTAGCCATCTCATGTTCCTACCATGTCCCTGCAGTCTTGGTATTGAGCTATGATCAGCCCTGCAGGTCAAATTCAAGCAATCCGGGAATTACACGTTGGTCAGCTGAGATGCTGTGGAGACATAAGTCTGGGGTGGAGCAAAGTAGGCCATGGTTGGCTTGGCCAATGTTGTGTGCATTGAGACAAAGAGAGAGATTGACTATAATGGAAGTGGTTTGAAGAACAGTCAATGAGGATGCATGAGCAGGAGAGCTGGTAAAGTGTTCCCATTGAATGAGTAGGAAGCATGGGTGGGGTGCAGTGGGGCAGAGACAGTTTGTAATTTTGGAGGATGAAATGAGTGAGAGCCATTGAGTGGTCATGATGTATGCAACAGTGAGAATTGTAGTGCAGTGGAAGAGTTTGAGTGAATGGTGACCCTGTGAGTGTGAGGGAGTAGAGAGAAAATGGCACGTACTGCTGCAGGGCAAAGAAAATCGTGAACTT